TGGTGACACCAGTAGATCAGGAGCAGTTTCACAGTTCCTCTTATAAGTAAGCTGCTATACCATAACACTTCAAAATAGAGTTAGGCATGTCATAGGGTGGTGAGGCACTGGAACAGATTACCCAGAGAAACTGGACACTCCATCCCTGGCAGCGTTCAAGGACAGTTTGGAAGGGGCTTTGAGCAACCTGGTCTAGTGGAAGGTGTCCCTGCCTGTGGCAGGGGGTTGGAACTAGATGAGCTTTAAGGTCCCTTCCAACCCAAACCATTCTGTGATTCTATGATTACTGTAATAGGAAATACATCGGCTAAAAACTCAGCTGTAGTAATTAAAAACAAATGTAAGTTTACATATACTTTCTGCTTAATCACTTGCATTTTCTTGGAGGTAGCCATTGACCTTTCCATTTTAGAGCTTGGCTAAACTGCTTATCTCTACCGCTTTTTAGGAAATTCCATCTAGAATAAGAAGTTACTTTACAGTTACCCATATTAAGCCTATGTAAACTTACATGTGTCATGTAAGATCTTAATTTATAAACTAACAAAGAACTGTACAAATGCTATAGGGATCATTTTGCTTTTTCAAACACGGGTTATTTAACCTACCAGACAGATTTTTTTAATTGTACTTTGTTTCAACTGACAGAAAAATTAAAAAAAAAATCTTTCTTCGTTTCAGGGCAAAGCATTGCTAGAACAGCACATGCTGCAGGTTTGTTCAGTTATCTAAAATAGTTTTTCAGGTGGGTCCCATATAACATGGCTAGTCATTCACAAGAATCTCCCTGAGCCAGCAAATAATAGCACAGCTTCCCATTTCAATCTGTGATGAAGAATGAATTCTACATATATGACATTTTTAGTTCAGACTGAAGCAGAACAGTAGTTAGCTGAAGAGAAATTTGACATAAAATAGATTAAAGCAGAATATGCCTGTTCACTCAAGCTCACACTGGGTACAGAACTGAAAATGGGGAGTGTCTGCTTTACTCTCCAATGAGTGCCCTGTACCATTCCTTATTTCCTACCTTATGCTTGAAATCACAGCATGAAACTACTGTTTTTTAAAATAAAAGCTACCCTACGGGACAGCACAAAAAGATAAAAGGCAGCAAAGCATGTAATGTTGTGTGTTATCTTGCCTCCCCGATGAAGTCCGCATCCCTGGATTCCAGTGAAGAGACAGGATTGGGGTTTTTCCTCCCTATTGTAACTATTTACTCCTCACTCGTAGTGAGATTCCCTCCAGAAAGCATTTTATGTCCCACCTACGCCACACAGCCATTACTACTCTGAGTAGGACTCTATAATTCAATACAGACAGATCTGGAAGTGTTTACCCCATATGTTTAATACAGCAAATTTAAAGAAAGAAAAATAGTGATTTGAAATAAAATAAATATTTAAGCATTGAAACTAACAATGTTTACAATAAAACATTTCTAAATAGAAGTACAATGTCCTGATGACTGGGAAACATTCAAAATCATGTTTCTTGGTGTGGTGGGAAGAAGAGGAAGTGGTGTATACCACACTGCTTGTCAAGGGAAGGGTAAGAGAGGGGAAGAATAAGGACAAGTAGTATTGCACAATTTAAAAGTGTTAAATTTAGTACTGTGACTATGAAGAACAGATCCATCCAAGAAAGCAAATGGACCACCTCACACATTCTCATCACTCAACATGAAAACTGTGCGGGAGGTAAGTTGCACTACAGCTTGTTCCTACTTGCACTCAAACAGTATTTACATTCTGCAGAAACTTAAGCCCTATCCAGAGTACTACTTCTGCTGTCTTGTACCTATCACAAGAGCATTATTCATATTTCAAGAGGCTGGCTGTGTATTTTCTGATACTGTTATGTCTTCGGCACATGAGAGTTATTTGTCTTTACAAGTTGTTTCTTTCTAAGAAACTGCTCTCCTGTGGCTTTACAAAAGCCTCACAAGGATCACAGTTTAGCTGACCTGAAGTTCAGCTGATGTCACGAGCCATGAACTTCTTGGGAACAGTTCAAATGCAAATCCCATTTTAAGGTGACAACATAAAACAAAAGCAGAGCAACTCCTGGATAATGGAAGTCCAAGGTATAGAGGGAAGGCCAACATAATGTTAACCTGAGGTGCATAACTGCTTATCTAGTCTAGCCCCATCTGATAAGCAAAACCATGAGAAGCTGTTGTCACCTGTGAACTGTTCCTGACTCTCCCTTTTCTTACCAACATGTGGCTCTTGGTCAGACATTGCTGTAGAAGCAATGCTATTTTGCATACGTTAAGTTAGCCTTTTCATACTACCCACTGTCATTAATCTGCTCTCTGAAGGAAAAAAATGAACAGACAAAAAGTGTATCTAGTGTCTCCTCCCTGCTAGATTCCATTATGGATAATACTGGAGATAAAATCCCCAATATATATAAATAATGGATTAATAGCAAAATAAATTATTCAGTGTGGTCTTCAACATTCACTGCTATGAGCGAATTCTGAGTTCCATATGAAGGCATATGAAATCTAAGGGCTCATGAGGGTTCTGGATTCTACAGCAGTCAAGGTGCCGTACAGTACATATCATCTTAGGCCTTGACTTGGCAGATACTTATTAGAACTCAATCAACATCAAAAGGGGTGAATCACACATGTGAAATTAATACACATGTAAGAGTTTTCAGGATTGGGGCCTTAGGGTACACACCTTCTACCAACTCTCTTTATAGAAATGCAGGTGTAATGTACATCCAAACTTGACTGGCTTCATTCTTTTTCATGCTTGTTCCCCTAGCAACTGGAGTAGTTATGGCAAGATCGGCTTAGCTTTACTTGTTTGGTTTTCTGCATCATATCAGCGGGAATTTTATGCTCAAATACTGTAAGAACAGGCTTCAGAGCATTTGTGGAGTCAGTGGTGGTTAGATTTTCACTCTGCCTTAGATTTCCCAAAGTAATGTAAATGTAACCTTGCAAAATATCAAGTATTTAAATTCATATTTATGTGGGAGGTAATTTTACTGCTTCTAATCTGATGTTCTCACAGCACTGTATGAGCAACTCTCCATTTTCAATCTTTTACCACTACTCTACAAGTAAATAGAAGTACTTTTACTACATTAAATACACACAATTTTTTTAAAAGACATTTTCCTGCTTAGAGAGTTTCTGTTATTAAAAAAATATTATTCTATTGTTTTGAAAATGAATTATCCCTTGAGGGTACTGTAAGAAATTAAAGGAATGCTACTAATTTTGATACGTCTGTGGTCTGTTGAGCTTCATGCATGAAGTGAATGAGACTACATGCAAATTGCAGTTACAAATGAAAAAGCAGAAATGCAGTCGTTTATTTCTTATTTAGAAGGGGACCCCACATTTTTCCATCTAAAGCAACAGGGTCCCTTAAAGTAACAAAAATTAAGAGACTATCATTGATATAGCTCAAGTTGCCAGTCTACCTGCTGCCAGTGTCATGTTAAAAAGCTTTTAAGAGACATAACTCCGATCATCTTTACAAATTATTAAATGGAAAAGAGAAACCAGTCACCATTATATGGGTTTGCATGCTAAGTTAAAAGGCAAGCTACTGAGAAATGTGACATAAAAAACTGGAAGAAAGCTATTTTTAAGATGAGTGGATACTGTACTGCAGTTAAATGCCAATTAAACAAATATTAATTCTCAGAAAATGGGATTAAGATGATGCAATATTCAGTAAAATTGAGAAAGTTACAATATTAAACAGTTTAAAGCATTGACTGCTCATTAAGATCAGTTTTCCCCCTTCCCTCTCTGCTTCTTTTTACACTGCATCAGGATAATCTCTTCACTTTTCTGCCCACAACTATTTAATAAATAGAATTTAAATATTTCTGTAGCAGAAATCTTTTTAGTGGGTATCTAATTACGCACATATACAGCTGTCTGCTCGTTACTATCATCCTTTATATGCTTATCAGCGTGCAATGCAGTGTGAGTACCCAGCAGATCATAAAAACACATTTATAAGATTAGTTCTAAGTCAACCCTTCCTCTCACTCCAACAGTAGAAACAAAAAGAGAAACTGAAAATGGTTATGGTGCAGTTTCCTTTTACAATTCCCTATATCAAAACGGGTGTGCAGTTTTAAAGTGCTTAAGAGTCATAGTAAGAGTCTAATATAGGAGTGGCAATGCTCAGGAATCCAAACAACAAGCTCATGTGAAATTCCTCAGGCGGTAGATGGGTGCGGTAAAAAAAGTAGGTGCCTGATTTGCAGGAACTTCTAATGGTATCTAATGCTTTAGCGTTTTCTCACATTGGACCAGAGCCACCTCTACTCAACTGTGAGGTTATTTGTTTGATTTGCTGTTGGGCTTGTTTTTGCTTTAAAGTCACTGAAGGGCTTATATATTCACAAGATAGCAACAACTACAAAGCCATAGGGGACCATGCATGAAGTATGGCAACAGCACAGTGTGGCCACACAGGACTTCAAGTCTCAAGTTAATTAAGCCCGTTGGAATTTTCTGCATCTGGTCTTTTAGACAGAAAAAGCCTTCAAGTTATTCCTGCAGCCAATGCAATACCAGGACTGTCAGACCTCCCACGTAGCTAACTCCAGCCTGACAGACCAGGTAAACTTGTCAGCATTAGAAAGCTGTAAGAATATCTGGGGACAGACATCCATGAAGACCATGAAAATCCTATCACTTCAAGCTCCTTTACAGAAAAAAGCTTCTCTCCTGCCATCATACAGACTGAGCATGAGATAAGGAACTGAAAGTGGATCAAAGAAACAGGAGATTAGAGCATGCAGTTTCTAACACGTTAGAAGACCAATGGCTCTATGAATCCCCAGGCTATATAAACTGTTTTAAAATTAAATTTTGATAACTGATAGCCTTTATAGTTTGTGCTATGGCCATTCCTTAGGACTATACAACATGGAAGAGACCAGTAAATTGCATGTCCACGACTACCATTCAAGATCTGCTGACATCCAGAAGAACAGGAAGAGGAAATCCACAAAGCAGGCAGAGTCCACAAAGCAGGCAGAGCCATGCAGCCAGCCCATGTAATTAGGAGTGGGCGGAAAGAAGAAATCAGACAACCAGTCACCGAGCAAGAGACTCAGGAAAGCACTGGTAGAAGGGAAAGATTAAAACATACCAACCTACTAGTACATTTTGTGCCAATTGAAACAACCTGGCTTTGATGAGAAAGGGGAGGGCAGAAAGAAAACAGCTCTTGATCCTGCATGCTCACTTCTGACAGTCAAAAGGAGTGATCAGTTTGGCTCTGTTTTATAAGGAAGCTTCATAACAAAGAGTGGAGTCCTGAAATTATGGACAAAGTCTTGGCACGAAGGCAGCAATAAGTTACCTTATGCTAAAATTCTGCATGCATGCCAAGTTGTTGGCTTTCACAGTATCACAGAATAGTTTGGGTTGGAAGGGACTTAAAGATCATCTAGTTCCAACTCCCCTGCCATGGGCTTTCTTTTTGTATTATTTTGAAACAATCTTTTAATTTACACTAGTCACATCCTTTGAAATGAAGCTGGTTTCTGTTACTTTATCTGCTGTCATTTACTTGTTTGCTGAGACAAAACAAGACCAAAACACAGTTATGGACTTTAAATCCAAAATGATGGAACGTTTATAAGCTTTACATAGTGCGGTGTATAAATTATTTTGTTACCTGAACTTGATCGCATTCATCAGCGGGGTAGATCCGTATCTGTCTCTAGCATAAACAGTTGCACCAGATGTCAACAAATACTCAACTAATGGTAAATGCCCTTCAGAGGCTGCAATATGAAGTGGAGTTCGGCCATCATAGTCTCCACAGCTGAGGTTTCCACCCTACAAAAGGACAGATCCTTTGCATACTACAAAGATAATGGCTGCACATGAAGTTGTAGGTTCAACAGTGGATGCATACACCACGTTTTAATTCTGCCACCAAAATGTTAAGCTTGTCAAATTTACTAAAAGTTTATCTGGTAGCATTGTTTTAGCACCAGCAAAGACATCCATTCCACTGTCTGCATGCTCCCCTCTCCACGTATTCTCATTACAGCCCCTTCAGATATGCTCTTTATTGCAGTAGACCACACAGCAGCTTTGTGTCTATAGTCTGCTAATTTTACTCGACTTAGTTTATTGTTATTTTCAAGACACATTTATCCTTACTTGAGGCCCATTACTGAAGTCTCAAAACCAAAGCAAAGAGAGAGAAAAAAAAAAAAAAAAGAGGTGTAGAAGATGACACAGTGAAATGCCTGTTTCTTTTTTCAGGTGTAACCCAAGCTCAAGCTATGTGGAGGGCCAAAAATCCTGAATTAGCACTGCACTGTGTTTTGCTTCAATATAATTTTCAAGTTCTTTTTTTTTAATCATGACAGATGCACATTCAAAAGCTGGATACTATGAATATGCATAAAGAAAGTTAAGTGAAAAAAAGCAGCACAAACCATGTTAAAGTGTTCCAAAGTTAGCAGATAAGAACTTATATTTTAATCTACCTGTATTTTTGCAGTTCAAAAGAAAACGTAAACAGCTGAGAACCAGATAGAGGAAAGAACATACCAGTTTTGAAAGGCAAAGACTGAGAAGCCTTGAAACTGATTGTATTAGTCAAAGCACCTTGATTTTTAGGTAGTTGCTTACCAGTGATTATAGCTTCCTCCTGTCATTTACAACTCTATTTAAAAAATAATGTTTTGTACAAACTGTTAATTTTACATTACCATTTCTGCTATGGCTCTTAGTGCATCAATGTCCCCCAGTTTAGCTGCAGCACAAGCCAAAGGTGGAATTAATGCATCTCTTACGGCTTCTAACTCCTGAGAAACAAATAAAATTAAACATTTAATACCTGCCTCGCCTCTAATGTGATTGATGTCTAAGTCATAAAAATGCTGCCCTCGCTTTCATGTAAAGTTTCCAAATTAGTCATTTGGATATTTAAAAATGGTAGCATTTAGTTCTTGGAAGGAAAGAAGTCTTATGTTTATTTTACATTTTGTCAGTCTCACATCCATAAAATTTATATTCCTCCCTGGCAAAACTACAATAACCTGATACATATATACACATATACCATTTAAACTGTGTGCACTAATTAACATCTCGGTACTGCCCTAGTTACACATCAGTACAGTAAGAGAAACAGCACTGGTAGGAGTTGGAAAAGACCATACAGTTCAGTCTCCTCAAGACTGGATCAACTGTCTTCATGTGATTCCTCAGACGTTTGTGTAACCTGTACCTCCAAACTTCCACTGACAAGCTATATGGGACCCCTAAATATCCTCCCATTTCTCATACTTACTGAAGAAGAACCATACATTCAGGATTCATTAGCTACTAAAAATTCCATCTTCCCTGAAACCAAGCCAAGAGAAAACCAAATACTTGTATCTTACAACCAGTACTATATTTTCTGATTTGCCAGTTGGGAGGGACAAATACTAAACACCACAAATTACACTTGTATAGTGCTTTGCTAGTATCAGCCTTCTACGACTGCATGTAAAATTAAGCTGTTTTGCCCGTTCTTATTTGGATTGCTCCAAACTGTCAATACATTTGACCACAAAAATACTAAGCACTTCTTGATATCATTGATAGCTTGAATTACAGCAATTGTCTGAAGCTTGTTATTGCAACTAGTCAGCCAAAAAAATAACCTCAAGATGGGGCTGCAAGGGGGGGGGGGGGGGGGTAATTATGGGGGGCGAAGGGGGGGGGGGGGGAGTTAATATGTTTTTAATTAAAATCATTTTAATGCTATGCTTGTCATTGTGTCCTTTCTCCCTAACCCAACTGGTTAGCTGGGACACTCAGTACTAAAAAAATAATAAAAGCTCCAATGTTCCATTTTCTTTCAGCTTTGCTGTTCATCTTTAAGCTAGGTTCATTTAACTGAGTTTACAGCTTTACATGAGTTTGATTTTAAATATTTAAGTGTGTACCTCCTTGCTGCTGATACTTAGAGATTTGGCAATCACTTGAATAAACTTGCTATCTCTCAGAGAGATCTTGGCTCCTGTGGGTACAACAGTCATTTCTCCTCTTAGATTCTCACTCAGCATCTGAAAAGCAAGCAATCAAATCCTTTGTTAGCAGAGGAAAAATATGGTAGTAGTCTAATAAAAAACCTTAGGATCAAGTTAGAAAATTGTTTGGAGGAATTATGGAAACTAATTGAATGCAGACAGAAGATTAAAGAAATAGTTACTATTCCATGAAGACTGCAAGTTTAAAAAGACAAGGGGAAGGGAGGAAAGACAGGCACATCAAATATTCTTCCAAAGCAAAGAAACCAAAATAAGCGCATAACAGAACATCCCATTTTTTAGTGTATGCAGACAAAAGTTCCCCAGTGGGGTAGCTGCAGCCTACTTAAAAACACAAAAATACTAAGTAATAAACAGAGTGAGGCTGAAGAACAGAATATTCTGAAATGCTGCCTTTTGCCAGCAATCTCAAACCTCAATACTCCTACACAGCCTGCGTATGTAGGCCTCGAAATGAAGCCAAGTGCTGCATGTATTTCAATGGGTTTTCAAACGGCTTCATTAGCCCAGATTTTGTTAAAATTTGGCCATAGAGCCAGCTTTGAATGCAGAGAGTCTACAGTAGTGCTACTCATTCAGTATTAAAACAGGCATGTAACAGTTTGTGGGATAGGTGCATCCAATAATGGAACCAGGGGAAAAAAAACCACCCACAACCAAACCAAAAAAAGGTCTGCCAATTCATGTGTAGAAAGTGCTTGAATATGGCGTTCAAGAAAGGAAAATACTCCAAAACACAGGTTCTGGGAAACCTGGAGAACAGAGAGTGAATCTAGTCAGTAAGAAAAAGCAGCTGGATTCCTCAATTCTGACAATTTTACATACTGACACTGTTTCACAAAAGGTTGCTGATGCAGCTATAAAGGAGGACGTAGTTATTTCAATTAGAATTTTAAAAAGCAGGATTGTGAAAGTTTGCAAAAAACAGATGGGATGTTGGAAGGAGGAATGCCCCAGGTTCACTTATGTCTAGGCATGCCCTTTATTAAAAAAAAAACCTCCAAGAGCTGACAACACTGTAGTTGTTTGCTGGAAGAGTCCCATATGCATGTAACTCAGAGGATACCAACTGCTTTGGCACACTTTTAAGAGTTTGACAGGTTGAGATCATTGCTTTGCACAGGTAACCTTAGCAACTGGCACCTGTGCTAAATGCAGCCAGTGGAAAGCCCTGTGTGCCTTACTCAGTCCTACCAGCTCTGCAGCCAGCTCTGCAGCCATTTGCATGTGTCTGGGGGCACATTCCTTGCTTCTTTGTGTTGAAAGAGAATCCTAAAATAACCACACCAGCTTCAGGAGAGCTTCCGTCTCTTGGGACACTATTGTTTGGTGATATGTTTAGCTGAAGATATTGCCACAGACAACATATTTCTAGGCTTTCTTCTTCTTACGGTGTCTACCACCCATTCCTGCCCAGGCAATGCAGCATGCTGCTTCCTTAGTTGTGCCAACACAATTGTTTGTGGGCATGTACAATGAGTCAAATGAGGAAACTTATCCTGCTTAATTCAAAGAAATTGCAAAAGTTATTTTGTTTTTCAAACCATATAAAGGAGGTCCCAGTACCACCACAAGAAAAACTGCCTAGCACATTCCAAAGCGCAGCACATGAAGATGCAGGAGTACCATATGCCAGTGGTACCTTAAACATCCTATCTCCAAGTCCTCACCTGAGTAAGTCAGCTATCTCACCTCAGCAAAGTGGATCTCAAATTAAGTTTTAACTCACACACCTAAGCAGGAAGCCAGCTGGGAAAGTCAGTCCTGTCCCAGGTCAAATAATTCTCTGTGCAAGAAGATTAAAGTCTGCATTAAAAGAAAACAGGCCAGTTTGTTCCAGGGTCAGTGAGTGTACTAGAGGGACATCAGTGAAAAGCCTGGGTTTCTAAAGCGTATGTACACAAACACATGCAATATAATTACTCTTCACACAACATTTTGTCTCCTGTCAAGCATGTTCTTGCACATAGTACGTTCTTGCTATCCTCACCAAAAAACCACATAGCTCCTCGTTCTCTCATTTTTCAGAGCCAGAGCTTTGGCAAACAACCGAAAGCTCAGTCTGAAATTGTTTCTAAGCATGACAAGTGGTACTTCCAGCCACCCCACTTACGATCCTAGATATCCAAATATGTTCGTCTGAAAAGCTGCTACTAGTTGAAAGATGTTGAACAGGAAATAATGATCCATTTTTTTTCAGTTTTAATAAAAACAAAACGCCATCCTAAAATACACATGTGCATGCAGTGCTTAAGTCTAGCGAGTGACTCATCATGATGTCATCTCCCAAAGTTCAGGATTATGATTTCACTGCATACAAGCACAGAAACACCTGAATTCCTGCAGACTGCTGCTCCCTTATCCAATTGTATAAAAGGAACATGATATATAACCATATAATTTGAGGAAAAAAGCCTTGATTGAGCACCAATGAACAGTAAGAACATTGTTAAAGGGGTTGTGATTTTAAACAGTTACAGTTGATCCTTAGAATAATCCTCTATTTTTTATGTATTTATAAAGTGTATCTCCTCTTAGAGAAATGAATTCTAACCCTGTCATAAGTAATGCTGTAAAGAAAGAGGCTGTAGGCAATATTTATTTTCAGAATTAGCTTTGTGCAAATGAGTCTTGGATGAAATCTTTTACCATGCTAAAATCAATGGCAAGATCTTTGCTGACTTCAGTAGGTTTAGGATTCTGTCTCACATGTAAATTTCCACATACGGGTTTTTAGTGCAGAAATGTCCAAGTTAGACTACTACCTTTTCAAGATGCACTTTTATGGCTTGGTGATAGTTTTACCTGACTTATGCAGAGAATTCTTTTCTCTCCCAATCTACATACGTTCATTTGCCTAACAGTATTTTCCTTTAGGATAAAAACATGCCATGTTCACATTATCCCTCTAGAACCATTTGCTTTTAAATGCAAGAGAGAAGCTCAAGGCATTCAGCTAAACAGAAGTTAGCACAGTAGATGAGAAAGTTGAAGCCTTTCAAGGTTACGCTGAAATATTTACCTGCCTCTTCTCCTCCCAGCTAAGCTTACTCTTGCTGAGTGTGTATGACAGTTTAGCTAGGGCTGCCTCTGGTGTCATATCACCTCCAGGAATTACTCCAACATCAGCGAGAGTCTGGATAAAAAGGAATAATGATTCCAATTAGCATAGCATTCAGAAATACCTGCATGTACAGAAAATTTCTATGAATGACTAGTAGCTACAGAGAACACAATATGCAGTTGTGTCTCCACTCTCTTGCTCCTCCTACTGCCACTGTAATTTTAGTTATCAGATACTGAGCAAATACTAAAACCAGCTGAATAAAGATGAGTTTTACTTTAAATTCCTTTTCATGCAATAATGCATCAGAATTCAACTAAACGCTTGCCATGGTCACTTACTATGCTAAAAGGGAAAGCTTACAGCTCTGTATCAGCTATCTGCAGAGTTGTCAGATTCCCTTTATTGAAAAGCTGCAGTTACTCTGTTTTAACCCAGTGGCATTTTGAACATTGTCAAGTAGGCTGTTCTCACACAGACATATTTACCATTCTTTTATGGGGCATTCCTTTGGATTAAGTCCAGCAGTACAGTGTGCTCACACCAGGAGTTTTTCAGAACCTTTCAGGCTGCACTAGCAGTGTATGATTTAAAACATACAATTACAGTATGTAATTTACACACTTCTGACAAGAACAACTGAAAAATATGTCCTTTTTAAGTTACCTTCCTGGTAGTAAAAAAACCCAAACATATCTGAAACAAAGCAAAAAGCAGAAGGATTTTTGCCATGGTCAGCAAGGCCCATATATGTTTTCTCATGGGAAAACATATAAAAAGAAGTTGAGAAATACTTTTTGTACTGCAGACCTAGCCAAAGACTGTTAGGGATTTTTCAGTTTGAGAAAGAGGAAGGGATTTCCCAGCTTCTTTCCTATACCTGAATTCCTCTCAATTACAAGTTTCTACCGTGCATATGGATCAGAGGCCAGACATATAGTTAATTAAAACAAATACTTCAGGGGAAACCAGGGACTGAGCTGACCCACCTGGCTAGCCTGAATGAGTAAAAAATGGCTTAGCCACATGCAAAGACCTGTGAAAGATTTTATTTAAAGAAAAATCAAAGTAAACTTAACATTACAACAACTTCCCAGCATTAGTCCATGGTACTTCCTCCACTGAGCTGTTCCTTATGAAAAGGAGAAAGCAATGAAAGAAGCAGCATGAAGTAATTTTATAGGACTTGGCTCTGTCAGTGTTCTCAAAAGATGCCAAGAAAACAGGGCAGCCTCCACCAACAGATGCTGAAGCAACATAAAACATGCTTCATACAAGAAGTGGAAGCCAGAAGTGAACCCATTTCCACACAGCCTTGCAGTAGTTCAGTAAGACCTGAGCAGAATCCTTCAATTCAGCCTAACAGTCTGGACCAGAGTGCAAAGAGCCATTTTTGAGGTGTCTAATTGAACAATCTTTTAACCAAAGCATAGAAAATGTTTTATCTTCCTTCCACACATTTTAGAAGTTCATTTCAAGCAGAAGATCACATAAAAGCTAGGCTTCATTCTCACGTTGTTTTTCAAATATATTTGGTGTCTCTTATTGACCTAATTGCTTTCTTCTTTCCATGTGGTCTGTATAATCCATGAATTCCTGTCCTATTTGCTACAGAGCATGGGATCTTTGCAAAAGTTAATACTTCTCAAAACTTCTCCATTAAGTTATACGAAAGTTTTACCAACACCCAAATGACTGTCCATATCAGAAAATACTGAGCTTGGATACTGAAGAGGTGGAAAGAAACTCTTACAATCTCCTTTTCTTTCTCCTCAAAACAGACTATGTGTTCTTGAAGCAAATATAACCTAAAGCTGTGTCAAAATCAGTGTTAAAAGAGGCAGGTTTCAGCACCAGACTAGAGTACCTAGGCTTGCCTTACAGTCAGTGAAGAGGCTGGCTCTGCCAGATGGGTGGTTGCTCCCAACAAAACCAGGTGTCTAAAACAGGCGGATGAGTCACCCTCTGGCAGTGCTTCTTCAATATTTAATGGCTAGGTTTTTTTATAAAGGCCAGTTAAACCAGCTTTCTCCACACTACCGCATGCAACACATACTCTTAGATGGCTTTGAGCTCTTATTAGTCCCAGTGATGTCATGTCTTAATACACAATTGAGAAACTCACTACAAAATACCCTGAATATTAACAGTATCTACATAAAGCCTGCTTTAGGCTAGCCTTCATGGGCTAAACACAACTGATTTCCATTCTGCAAGACAGACACTTCCTTACATACTGTTGTCCATTCTCTCACTCAATTCAGTTGTACTTCCAGTCAAATAAAAAATTTGGAATATTGTTTGCATTTGCAGGCTTTCTTAATGCTCTTACATTGTAGCTAAGTAACTGCTAGCCTATCAAATAGTACTTTATTTGATCATCTGACCCCTAAGCTAGCTTCTAGCTCAGTGGAATCCCTTTAGGGGAGATACTACCTATCTAATGCAGGTATCCTGGAGTGCTGCGCACAACAGGAGCAAGCAATCACTATAGTATCTGGGATTTGAGCTGACTGTTTTGACCATTCGGACCAGAAGCAACAAGATCTTGTTTGCAGATACATATTTAAACGCTTCCAGGTTAAGATTTTTCAGATATTGTTATTTCATGAGCAATATTTTTACAGGTAATGAATTGGTTTTTATATACTGGGACTATTAGAAGTATACAATCAAGTTGTACCAGTGGGATGGTTCTTTTACACAGCAGTAGAGTCTGGAATTATTACACAATCCTTACCTGCCCTGTTGCATAGACTGTTTTGACAGACCCTCGTAAGCACTGGGTACAGTTTAGAATCACTACTTTCCGTTCAGCTGCTTTCTTCAGTTCTTCCAGCAAGTCTTCTCTGTTGTTTGGGGCATTGCCACTTCCATAAGCTTCAAGTACAATGCCCTCAATTGGAGGCTGAAGAAACGCTTTTACCTGTTTAAAAATAAAACAGGGAAGAGAGACGAAAGGTGCATTTAAGTCACATTAAGATTTTCATGTATGGCATAGCATTTTTGAAAATGGTCTATTCCTAATATAGTCTTACAGCCTCTCATGCGTAACAGTCTTCTCATGCCCTTCTGTGCTCCCCATTTGCAGTAACTGGGACTGCAGAATAAGCTTTAAAAAAAAATGAGAATTTCACTCTATAGCTTCCTTTAAAATTCCTAGAGGGATAGATTTTAAACTAAACTATTTTCTGCAGTCATGACCTTGGTATGAAACAGGATGCTACTGTTCAAGTGCCATTAATAGGCTATACTGTTGCACAATGGTGGAGCAAAAAGATTTACACTTAGAAAATAAATGTAGAATTATTATTTGAGATTAGAACCCCCAGCCCTGCCTACATTTGTTACTTCAGCAAAAAGCTTTGTTCACAAATGTCTGCCTAAGAGAGAGTGTGTCTCACCTTTCAGGAAAGAATGATCTAATGAAGCCTGGAGTTTTTTAACTCAAAACCTAATTGTTTTAACTCAAGGTAGATTAAAAAAAAAAAAAAGAGGCTCTAATATGTTCTGGGTCAGTCGTTACTCAGGTAGCTATTGTGCCTCACTGTAAGTGAATGCCTAGCAGAGTCCTCTTCCCAGAAAGACGTATTTTAAACAACCTAAATGTTTCCTTGCTGATCACATATGCTAAATGCCATACACTGTAAGACCCCATGAGGCTAACTATGCAGTTGGAGTTTTATTGCAAATATACCACCCCTCTGCCTTTCCATCTGTTCATATTCACCTAAAAAGGATGGTAATATAATTGAGGAGTGCTGCTTAAACTACCGGATTCAATTTAAGATGGCAACAGCCACAAAAGACCTGTCAATTTAACAGAGATAGCATTAGACAAAAATTTAAAGACTAATCTACCTAAACGCACAGTTCTGCAAAATAATTTCTAAAGGCAAAAAAAGTCCCACTTCTCATTTTCAGCAACAAAATCCCATTTCTCATTTTCAGCTCTATAAGAATGCTGAGGGTCATGTTAACCATCAGTGTGAAAGAAAATGAACCTTAAAAAACAAGCTTGAGTTGTAGAAATAGTCACTCTCCCTTCCACCCACCATTTTGTGTATTCTTTGACAAGGTATCTATTAATATGTCTCAATATGCAGCAGTTGAGAATTTCACATGGCCACAAAAAATTAAGCTTTTATCAATAGTTTATGGCATACGAAATTAGTCTTTAAATGCTCTAATATTCCAAAAAATGTTTATCAGAAGAAGACAGATCCTTTCCCTTCCCTCCAAAGCCCCAACCACTGCTACAAACAACGCAGCCTCCCTACTTGAGCGAACAGATCAAGTATTGAGCATCCCTTCACCCACTTCCAAAATGAAGCGGTGACACTTACAACAGCAGCAGTGATTCCCGGGAAGATTCGCAGAAGCCCAACGTTCCTGTTCATATTGGTGTGAACTCGAAATTTCTTTTTGGTATTGGCTCTCCACACAGTTTCCCAGTTTACTGTTAAGAGAAATAGCCTTTTAAATTTAATATTAAGATATAACATTAAGTACACTTGTAGCACTTCATACTTACAGCAGTGTTTTTAAAAGCGTTTCTTACATAGGGGATTCACAGAAGACAATGTATTTTTGAAAAGAGGTAATGAAGACCCATTTAAGCCAGCAGCCATAGCAGCTGATCTAACACACTTTATTAGGTGCCACAAAATATGTCTTCAAGGCCACACCCAGGCCAGGCTCAACTCTGTTATATTTTAGCTTTAATTCCAAAGTAGTCTAGATTCTGAAGTAAATCAGTATTACTCATCAATATTTCTAAGTTGTTGCCCTTTAAGGAGATATTTAACATATATGCTTGCTTCAATTTAATAACATTTTATAGCAAAGGTTTCCAAAATGGATATTTTAGTTGAGTGATCATTACTGAAACAGATGATCTATGAGACATAAAGTTGCAGAGCTCTACTACAACCTCTTCTAAAGAGAAGTCTGATAGCTATGAAAACGATCCGAGTGCTAGACCTGATGGGTCCACGATGTCGAACATGTCCTGTTAGTGCCAGCTGTCCCAGTTCCGAGTGCTCAGAAAGCCACAACTAACAGAGCGCTGGGCAGGTCTAACATAGGTGAGATATTTACTTGTCACGCACTGACCTGAACTTCTTTGTTATGTAGCGGGCCTGATACCAGCCTGGATTTATGCTTAGAAAACAGACCTTCATCTTCCCAGACATAAGAGATGACAAATTCAGTTACTGTTACTGCTAATCACCTCCAGAGTTTATTAGGTAGTTACTAACGATTAAATAAAATAGCAAGGATTCAATTAACTCCGATTATACATTTAGTGCCAGAAGCCAGCTGTTTAACTAATAGTTTGTTTGTGTTGCATTATTAGAAACCAAGTCATGCATTATTGATTTCAAAATTTTACTACTTCAGTGTAGGAACACAGCATTCATTGGGCTGACAGCTCCTACAAGGCAGTGAAATAGGTTTAACAAACAGCAGCCAACAACAGCTCAGAGTGTCATGTTTCAATGAAAGTAGACCATACCATAAACCTACCTGTTTCCCCATCATGATTTAAGCTGTTTAAATTTTAGAGAAACTCCCAAGCAGCAAGACAGATAAAAGATCTGCATGCATAATACTGACTTGCTTTCAGCCATGTGGAGAGTTACTCACGCCAATTACTGTTGCAATCTCTTGCAATCAGCAGACAGCCACTTGCAAAAAAAATCAGAGTAAAAGTCTCCATTGAAGCCTGTTCTATTGCCCCATTACTACAGATATGAAAAGCTACACAATCCACTAAGTCAGGACAGAAACGTATCAATCACCTATAAGACTTTACAAACTTCCCCTTCCTGTCGCAGTGCCCTGTCAGCAACTAGAGCCACTGTATGTTCTTTCTAAAGATACCATACATCATTAAACAAGTCACAAGCAGTTGGCATGGTATCGAGTTTGTCCTACCAGCCACACTTTGGCTGGTAGGACAAACATGGATTCCTAATGCCCTGAGAACGGGAAAACAGAACTATAGACCACTTCTAGTCTGTTTCTTTGTGCTAAGCTGGCTACCACTGTTCTGAAACCACCTGGTTGGATTTAGTAGTTAGCCAAGGAGCTCTCAGAGGTCTCCATAAGCTTTCCAGAGTGAGTTAGAGGCATGCAGAATGTACATGGGTTAGTGCAGAAAGCTGTGCGTTTGTTCTGCTTGAGGTTCACAGGCCTGGCTAACCACATTGGTTCATGAGCACTGTGCTTTAGGAATAGCAGTGTTTAGCCATAAATCCAATCCTTTCAACCTTCTAACAGCCAGATTAATTCTTTAAAAGCAGGCTCCTCTATAAGAAGGGATGGCAATAAAATTGTATTAGAGGTTTCTTTCCTTTATTCTCCATAAGCTAGGAGTCCCTGCCAAAACTTCACAAAAGCATACTACTAAGTTTGGCAACTATTAGCATCCCTAATGCCTGTAACGAACTTGAAGAATGAACTGAGGGAACCTGCCTTGGCATGGATCACTAAGATATTGCCAAAAGTAGAACACCAAGGAGAGAGATCAGAGGATAGGTTCAGAAGTCAGACCTGTACCAGGCCTATACCTGTACTCTTGGAGTATGCTCTACCAAAAACCTTATCTTCTTCAAGATAAATGTAATGCATGCAGACATAGTACAGTGATGTAATTCCAAACTATATTAAAAAAAACACACCAAAGATTGCCCCTGAGTTAACATTCTCTTGGTCATGAACCCCATCAACCTATGTAACATGCTTGGTACTGCAGACTCCACAGATGACAGTTTTCCATTAGACAAACGAGTCTAAAAGGCAGAACAAAAGGCAAGTGTGATGCAAAAGCCAAAGACAAACAAATATGCATAGAAGTCCAACTCCATCTCAGATTTATTCAGAACTGTTGTGAGACAGAGCACCATGCAGGGGAAAAGAATTTAGAACACACCCTTTGCATCTTCCATCTCAAAGACTACATCCGTAAAAAGGAAGAAAATTTATGTTGCATAGGTAAGTTCAAGTATCTTCATTGTACTGAATAAACCAGCTGTCTTGCAGCCTATAGTCCACAGCAATCTTCTTTTGTTAAATAAATAAAAAATAAACAAATAAAAAAATCTTAGGAATCACTAACAGTTCTTAAATAAAAAACTCAGACACAAGCAGGTGAAGTGTTCATAACAGCTTTTTATCCTATGGATAAGAGACTAGTTAGGGATATTCAGTTATGGTACAACACAGAAAATAGTATGTTTTGACTGTTATGACTTCAATGGCCTGTGCTTGTAAAGAGTTTAACTGATATAGTGTACAGCATTATGTAAATACGGATACAAACCTGAATAAGAAACATAAGCTAACTACTAGTGTTGCATGGCAGAAAGGAAGTTTGTAAAACAATGTACATATATAAAGAGGTAATGGCTATTTATATACTGTATCCAAAATGGCTTGTGATAGAAAAGATTGCATTATTCAAGGAGACTGTATTCAAGATACTGACTTTTTGTTTATTCGTCCAAACAAAACCATCACATAAACAATACTCCACTATTTCCAATCTCCCCCTTCCTACCAAACACTACAGCTTTTAAAATTACAGCTCAAAAAATTACATCCTTATCTCCTTCAGCTTTATTCTCTCTCTCACACACATGCACACCCCACTATGGTGATATGGCTAGCGCAGAAAAAAAACATCAATATGGCTTAAAAATAAAATAAAAAAAAAGCAGCTCTACACAGTCTAGAAAGCAGCAACACACACCACCCCCCATTGTGTTTAACAACCCTGTTGTTAAACAGCACCTATGCCACAATGCAGGTTTCAATTTATAATGGGAGAGCAGCAACTAAGAGCGACACCTCCCTTAGGAGTGGTGACTGAACTCCGAGTTATGAAATCAAACAAGAAATACAGCTTTTTGCGATTGCAGAGCTCCAGACAAACAGCAACGCTTTCTTCTCATCCTTCTCTGCAGGGCTATGGGCGAGCCCTACCATTATATAAGCTGCCCCAGTGCTCATTACGATTCATGGTGACAGCCAAGGGGTGGGGAGTGCAGGCCGACCTATGGGTGCAAATTCCTGAAGGAGGCAAACCAACACAGACCCCCTTTTTTGGCAGTTTGTTGTAAAACAATCGACACACATCTTCTGAAATTAATATTTAAATTGAATGGTGGTGATGCAAGAATCAACATGCCTACTTACTTACAAGGGAGGGGGGGACCAAAAGCACTTCAGTGAAGACAGCTGGCATTTGCCTTAATATATAAATGACCTGGGCTTTTTACTGTAAATAACTAGAACTGCCAACCAAGACACAGACTTGGCCAGTGACGAATAGCCTCTAATGAGACTGGTGGGTAGACAAGCCCAAAAAGGCCTTCTAACCTTCTGCTGCTGTACCACATTTACATGCACAGTCATACAGGCTCCGTTCATCCCCTGTGCAAGTTATGTTTCTCATCACACAGTCCTGTACATGTGCACCACTCCCAGAAGTTACATGAATGTGTGATGAAGAAAGCAAGTTTCAGATGTGCTTCATTAGACAATCAAGAACAGAGTAACCAGTTATGAAATATGCTGAGAATCTTTGCACATTTCAAGTCAAACAGTCCTCCTTGTCTCTCCTATTTTCACAGTATGGGAGAAATAAGCCAGGGTCTTTTCAGTTTAAGATTCTTGAAATATTTATTGTTATTCCTATATTGTCCATTTCATACAAAGATTTTTGATTCTCCTGCAAAAGTATTTCCCATTGGCATTTAGTTTCTTACTCATTTCAGGAGTGGGCTAGAATTTTTCACTTCTTCCAGGTTTTTCTTGTGCTAAATCGAAAGTCTTATAGAAGCTGACACACTTGCTCATCTAAAACTGGATAATGGGATGCTTAGGTGTCTCAGGATCTGGCCGAGAACACAGCTGGTTGATAGGATCAGAAATCTACTGGGAGCCTCACCTGAAGAGGGAGCAGAGAGAAATACAGAAACCAAAAATGAAGAAAAGAGCTGCAGCTAGGGTAGGAAAAGGAACTAAGCTTCTCCCTCTCCTCTTTGGCTCTGAATTAGATAGTTGCTTTTATATAGTATGCCTAGCCTTGAAGAGCATGTCTTCTCCTTATTCTTGTATATCATAGAATCATAGAATAGTTAGGG